ATTCCTGCCCAAAAATAGCCCTGCCTTAACCAAAAAATCATCTGCCTCTCCTTCTTGTCTGAGCATACAAGCCAGCAAAGAAGATCTGCTGGCCACGCAATCCAGTTTGGGAACTCCATGCAAAGCTGCAGTTTTGTTAGTGAAACTGATCATCATGGAGCTGGCCCTGGAAGGTTTTATAAGGGGTAGGGGGGCTGCACAAATCACGGCTGCATTGCAGAGGAAGGGGGGTAGCTCTTTCCCCCATGCCATTTCCTAGACTGAAATTGTCCTCCTGGTAGGTTGTCAAACCCAACTTGGAAAATTCCTGGAGATTCGGGGGCCGTGCCTATGGAGGGCAGTCTTGGGAAAGGAAGGAGCTTAGTGGGCGTGTCTAGAACTTCAGTTTCTTCTGTACTCCATGGTATACCATAGTGTCTAGTATACAAAGGTGCCATTTCCTCCCAGGAAGTGATCTCTGTAGTCTGGTGATTAGCTGCGATTCCTGGAGAACCTCTAGGGTTGTCCACCTCCAGATGGGCCTGGAGAACTCCCAAAATTACATCTCCAAACTACAAAGATCGGTTGCCCTGGAGCAAATGGCAGCTTTGGGAGGCGGACTGTACCATAGCTTAGGAGGAACTGAAGTCCTGGAGCGAAAGCATATCCCTGGTGGTAGGGCTGCCAGCCTCCAGGTGGGGCGTGGAGATCTTCCACTTTTACAACTGATCCCGGGCTGACAGAGATCCCCTGGAGAAAATGGCTGTTCTGGAGGGTGGACTCTATAACATTGTACCATGCTGAGGCCCCTCCCCTCCCCAAACCCTGACCTCTCCTGGATCAACCCCCAAAGTCTCCAGGTATTCTCCAACCCAGACCTGGCAACCCTACCTAGTGGGCTCCCTCCCCAAATTCCAAAATGCACTGAAAGAAGGAAGTGGAAGAATAGAGGTGGAGGTGAACTGGGCAGAACTCATGCATCTGAGGCCTGCATTTCCTACTTGGCAAACTAGGATGGCTGAGGCCCCAGACGTCTACCCCAAGGTCTGGCCCAGACTGATAGCACGACTGTGCAAAACTCCAGCAAGGAGCATCGTTTGACCATGGCTCTTGGAAGGAAGCCTTTGGTTTCTGGCTTGCTCCAGGCCACTGCCTGCAAGCCACTGACTCGTCCAGTTGTCCGCGAGTCAGGAAGGAGCAAGAAACGGGTATGAATTGAGCTCCGAAAGAGTACCTCTGGTGTCAACCATGCATCAGAGTAAGTAGAATAATACAGCCCTTTAACAGATCCAAGAAGGCAGCCCTTCAGTATTTTCCAAGAACCCGCTTGGATTCTGCAATCAGGTGCATGTCGATACATTCACTCAGTAGACCAATGGGGTTTGGGTTTGGGTTTTTTGTTTTTTTTGCAGAACTGGGTTTCTTTTCATTGTTTGCCATGGGAGCATCAGCAAACGGACCCTGCCTTTGTCTCTTCCACAATATCTCACTGGCTCGGTTCGGATGAAATGTGAAACCAGGGGCTGGTCAAATTCACTGTGGTATGATCACCTGAACATGAGCCACTCCACTAACTGTGGTTAATTCGGGACCGTCAATCCAGGATCTGATATTACAGCTTTGAAGTTGGCTTGTTAGCCACTCTTAGCCTTAGCTGTGATTTCCTGTGCTGTGTGGAACAGATGCTGATGGGGAAATTTCCCCCTCAGTGCAGATACCCTGCATTCATCCTGGGTTGTTCCCCAGCGTCACCTTCACAAACTTCCAGACTACAGACTCACCTGGCCAGAGAGGTGATGAAAGCAACCAATAGTCGAGACAAGCAAGGACTTCAGGGAATGTCCACAAATTGTGTGTCACAAACTAACCAAAGAGATTTGTCTTATGTCTAAATTGAGGTTTTGTTAGAGTCCAATGGCACCTTTAAGACCAACAAAGGTTTGATAAAGTGTGCATGCACACGAAAGTTCATACCTTGAATAAAACGTTGTTGGTCTTAAAGGTGCCACTGGACTCTAAATTTGTTGTACTGCTTCGGACCAACATGGCTGACCAACTGGATCTATCTTTAGGTTTTGTTGCTCAGATCCAGGGACAAAATATATAATGTGTCAGGTAAGGAGGCAGGGCCTCCTGTTCACCTATTGGTATCTTGAGCCCTCTCAATGAGGGTGAAAGTGCATGACAGAAATCTTTAATAAACAGTGATTGGTTGATTGATTGGTTGGTTGATTGAATTCAATGAAATTGCCTATTGGATTCTCAGAGGAACGGAGGGATGAGCCAAATCCCTTCATTTATTATTGCAAATAAATGAATGAGTGAGTGAGTGAATGAATGAATGAATGAATGAATATTAAATGCTTCTTGAGAATTGGTTTCCCTACCTGGAACCTCCAGGGAACTCTGTACTAAAGAGCGATTTTATTCACTTGGTACTATTAGCCGAACCAAATCCTCTACACCGATTTAATTTAGAATTTGCAGCTGACCTCATGCAAGGAAGCTTGATTCATCTCAGCAATTACAAAATGTGTACTTTAGGAGTATGGATATGATGAACTATTATATATACAGGGCATTACATGGGTTAAGGTAAGTGAAATGGTAGCCAGATTGGCAGGAGATCCATCAAAGCAATCCTACCCTCTCTTTGTCCTGTGTTCTAATCCCCCAGTATACCTGTGGTTACATTATTGAATGTATTGATTAAATCATATTGATATTACAAAAAGCTGTGGACAGAATCAGTTGTGGGATAATGTCCATGGCATCTGATATTACCACCTTTGACTCTGCAGAATATGATCTTTCCTCAGCACTGGGGAGTGGCTACGTGATAAGAGGTTTCAGGTACCATGCTTATAAAATTAATATGGTGATTGTGAAACTTGTAGGGGGAAACTTGCAAGTGGTAGGTGATGTATAACCCTTCCTTTGCCCACCAATTTTTAATCATTTTAGGAAAGCCAAGTTAGAGGACATGTGTTTGCCAAGGCACTATGCAATTCCAACTTTAGTTATTGGGCTACGTATATAGAAATTATTTGCTGGATTCTAAGAGGAGCTCCTTAATTGTTCCACAATGTCTCTCTGTTGTGCCGTGTTCCACTTTTCCTCTGTTCTGATTGAACTTAGTTTTAATGGTTTTTAATATGTGTTTTTATTACATGTGTTTTTAATGCTAGCCACCTTGGTGTCCATACAAGGGCAAAAAGGCGGGATATAAATTTTGTAAATATATAACATAAAAAAATACAATCTGAATGTTAAACAGAATTACATCTTCCTAGGCCCACTGGTCCAATGAACTTGGAAAGTTGTAACTCCGTTTAGGATACCACTGTTGTTGTTTCAAACCTGAACAAATTTCAACCATTCATTAGATTTTGAAAATGTTTGGTCTTGTTTCAAGCTGTCACAAATTTCTAAGCAATGCATGTTATGCTGGAGTCATCCCAGTTTTGCATCTCTCTGCTTTCAAAACTGCCTTGATTTTGTGGGAGAAGATATCATAAGAACATAAGAGAAGCCATGCTGGATCAGGCCGATGGCCAATCCAGCCCAGCACTCTGTGTCCCACAGTGGCCAAAACCCAGGTAGCATCAGGAGGTCCACCAGCAGCTTTAAGAACATGAGAGAAACCATGTTGGATCAGACCAATGGCCCGTCCAGTCCAACACTCTGTGTTCCACAGTGGCCAAAATCCAGGTGGTCCACCAGGAGGGCCAGAACTCCAGAAGTCCTCCCACTGTGGCCCCCCAAGCACAAAGAATACAGAGCATCACTGCCCCACTATCCCTGGTGGCTGACTGCTCACGTTGCTCCAGCCATATTTCAGATAACAAAGGAAGGGATCTTTGGAAAGTACTCACATCATAGACTCCTCCTAAACAGGTCTTCCTTTCTCAACTTACTGTAGTGACAGAGAACACCTCTGGGGAGGAAGCAACAATATAACATTATTGTAAGAGAAGAAAATGGCCAAGAGGGGCTTCCTATGGCCTGCCCAAATGCATCCAAAACTCAAATAAGTGGGCAATTATTCCCAAGGCAAAAGTCTGTCATTCTGCACGCTTTGCTCGTGTGATTCTTCATGGTCACCAAATCTTCTTCAGACAATGGAACAGAACATCGGGTATAGGTGTCTAGAGAAACTCTAAGCCTGTGATAAATTAAATCTCATGAGGACTACAAGGTTGATGGCCATGTTGCTGGGGTCCTGAAGCAGGTAGCTTTCCAACTCACAAACTTATTGTCCTATACACAATAGTTGGGCAGGTGGTCCATAAAATACAGACTAGAAGTCCAGATCTGGTTCCTGATTCCCCACTGGCCATCTCTGGGCTTCTGGCTATGTCCTTCCCTTCTTCTTCATTTCAGCCAGTGGGCTGGATCAGGAGGCTGAATCGTGAAATGTTCAGTCTCTTCATAAACCTTGCTACATTTCCCACAAACATTAGTGGATAAGTCCCATCTGAACCTGTGGAAGATGCCTACAGCCCTTGGACGAGAGCCAACTCGCAATGGCTTCTTCAAGGGCCATTGCTATATTGTGAACCTCAGGAATTCTCCCAGCAAAAAAATTCGCCGAGAAGAGGCAGTTCAATCTTCACTGTCTTCATCTTCGTCATCATCTTTACTTGGGGCACATCTATGGAAACAGTTGACGATTAGCGCCAGAATGAAGCTCGAGACGATTGCAGCGATGGAGACTGCAACGCCGGAGAAGATGATGATAATAAGGTCTGTGAGGGACAAGTTAAATTTGCAATCCCTAAAGCTGCCCTCTGACAATTCGCTGAGGAATATTTTTCTGTCCTCCATAGGGACTGAACACTGGATTTCATTGAGACCTGCAAGGAGACAGAAAAGGGGGAAGATAAAAGTGAGCATTAAATAGCCATTTGGCTATACAACCTGATAGATTCAGCGGGACCAAGGGAAGAATGACCCCCCCAAAGGTCATTTCGGGGGGATCGCGGGGGATCGCAGTTCCCCCGGGTGAGGTGCGGGGGGTGGGGCACACGATGAAGCCCCGCCCCCTGCTTCCAGCCACTCCGCTTCCGGCCCTCATTCAGCGGGGAGGAGGCAGGAGAAGAGGGAGGTTAAATTGCTTCCTCCCCGCCTCTCCCCACCCCTGCCTGCCTGGGGCCAGGGAGGGCCTTGGCGGGGCTTCCTCGCACTCCCGCGTTCCCCTAGCTCTTTTTCTAAGAAACGACCCCAGCCCCCCCCCATTTCATTCCCTTTATTGTTCCATTCTGGTGTGACCTTGGGGCAGTCACAGTTCTCTCAGAGCTGTTCTCTCCAGAGCGTTCTCGAAAGAGGTCTCTCAGCCCCACCTACCTCACAGGGTGTCTGTTGTGGGGAGGGGGAGGGAAAGGAGATTGTAAGCAGCTCTGAGACTCCTTCAGGTAGTGAAGAGTGGGTTATAAATCCAATCTCCTCCTCCCCCTCCTCCTCCTCCTCCTCCTCCTCTTCTTCTTCTTCTTCTTCTTCTCTCTAATGACCCCTACATAACACTGGCTCTCAGTTAATGTGCATATTATGCTGCCTGAATTTGTGCGGTGGCGAACGATAGCCATTTTTTCCTCCGTCCATCCTCATTACCAGTCCAAGATGTTCTTTATTCATGACCTCTTCTACTTCAGCAAAAAACTTTTCTGCCTCTTTCTCATTTTCTTGTTCTCTCACCTTGGGATTCTTGATGTGCCTTTGTTATCTTAGTGTAGAGGTTCAGCCGGGGAATATAAAAAGACCACATTTTCTAAGAAGGTTCTGTTGAGGCACAGTTGGAGGTGGGATGTTTTGTTCCTACTCTTCCCAATGGTTGAGCCATTCGGGTCACTTCACAGGGTTTTAACAGTTCAGAATGTGGTCAGATGTTGGCAGCTGAGTGCTATATATTTTTTTCTGGGAGCAAAACAGCCTGCTACAGAGTTTTCAAAAAGAAAGAGGGAAGAACTGCCTGCCCGTTGTTGAGATCATAAAGCAGGATTTGCAGTTAAGAGTGAATGTTTCCCATTTTGTTCCTTTTTCTGTTTAACTCTTGAGCAGAGCTGGTGGTTCTTCGCTTTTCGGTGTGGTTTCGTAGATTCTGTCCGTGATGTTACTGGTAATCTTGGGTCCTAACTGCACCCTTACATACAAACAATAAGAAATCTTTGCTACCTCGCTTCCCCTAGAAGAAGAGATTGGATTTATTATACCCTGCCCTTCACTCGGAGTCTCAGAGCAGCTTACAAACCCCTTTCCCTTCCCCTCCCCACAACAGACTCCCTGTGAGGTGGGTGGGGCTGAGAGAGCTCTTTCAACAATTGCCCTTTCAAGGACAGCTCTGACAGGGCTGTTGCTTGCCCAAGGTCATCCAGCAGGTGCGAGTGGAGGAGTGGGGAATCAAACCAGTTCTCCCAGATTAGAGTCTGCACACTTAGCCACTACACCAAACTGGCTGCCAGCCTTCAGGTAGGGCCTGGAGATCTCCTGCTATTAGAATTGATCTCCAGACAACAAAGGAGTAAATGGCTGCTTTGGAGGGTGGACTCGATGGCATTGTACCCTACTGAGGACCTTCCCCTACCCCCACCCCCACCCC